GAGAGAGAGAGAGAGAGAGAGAGAGAGAGAGAGAGAGAGAAATTCTTCCAACTGGGCTCCTACATGTCTACTCAATCTACCAACTATATCCCTTGAGTCTCAATGCTTCTCCAGTTGGGGATACACATCAAAAAGGTATTCTGTAGAGGGAAAACGGATACTGTCTGTCTTGTGAACCTATGCCTAGCTTGTCCCCCACAATGTGCAACCAGCACCATTCACACATGCTGTTCTTAGTACAATATAACACAAGATGGCATTATTTTAGGTGATCTTGGGACTGGCCATAGCAAACTGTACCTCAACCATGGGATGTACCTGGCCTCTGCCTCACCTGCATAGGGGGAACTGCCTGCTTTGATCTGGATTTGTTTTCTCTCTCTTTTTCCCATACTTGAAATGTAACTTCATCTAAGGACAGGAGTGTGGGACAGAGAGCAGAGGCAGGGAGCTTATCTCTCCCTCTCCCAAAGGCCCTTCCTGATAGCAAAGCCCTGAACAGAGGACTACAAGTGACCACTGTCCTATCAAAAATTAACTATACCCTTTGTTCTTTCAGAAGCCCTTATCCAGAAATGTCCTTGGGACTTCTCAACAAGAAATACAAAAAACACACAATCTCTCTTAGTTAGGTGGTATCAGCAGGCCTTGAACCCATTTTCTCCTGTAACATCACAAAGGGGAACACCCCAGGGAATGGAGAGACCAAAGATGAAGAGAGGCTGAGACCCTGAAAGATTCCATGGAGCAGAGCTGCCCAATCACCTGGACTTTCCCTGTAAGAGAAGATGAACTGGGGACAGGTCCTTGCAGAGGTAGTCTTGAGACCCTTCAAATCACACTGTCTTTCTCTATCTACCTACAAGTGAGACCAGTCTCTACCATATGCTCTGACAATCATAATATTCTGCCTAAGCATGTGGGGCCACACACACACACACACACACACACACACACAAAATATATACATATGTGTGTGTATTCATGAACTTCAAATTACTTTGAGTATGTATCAAGAAAAGGAAGTAGCATATCATATAGTAATTTTTAAATGATTTTATTTATTTATTATGTACACAACATTCTGCCTCCATGCAAATCTGCACACCAGAAGAGGTCACCAGATCTCATAACGGATGGCTGTGAGCCACCATGTGCTTGCTGGGAATTGAACTCAGGAATCCTGGAAGAGCAGCCACTGCTCTTAACCTCTGAGCCATCTCTCCAGCCCCATATAGTACTTTTTTTTAAGAAACAAATTCTAACAGTCTAATTTCCACAGTAGCTGTAGCATTTTATATTCCTAGCGACAAGGCAAAAGCCTTCCAATTACTCCGCATAATCACCAAGTCTACCATCATCTCCTACTTGATAGTGGCTAATCTGATGTGTGTGAGGCATATCTTCAATGTAGTTTCATTTTATGTTTCTCCAATGTTTAGTGATTTTGAGCAACTTTTATGTGCTTATTGGCAATTGTACATCTCCCCTAGAAAAATGTCTATTCAAGTATTTCGCCCAGGTTTCAGTTGTTTTTTTCTTTGTTGTAGTAACCTGTGTGTACAGGTATGTTCAATAGAACACAACCAGACCAATTCCTTATGTGGAGTTTGACATCCAGCAGAGGTATTCAAAAACAAACGGGAAGGATAGGGAAATGACTCAGTCTACAAAGTACTTGTATGCCATTCAAGTACAAGGGCATGAGTTCAGTCCTTTCAAGGTCAAGCCAAGTGCTGCTGTGATGTGAACTGCTAATCCTCAGGCTGGGGAGATGGAGACTCTCTGGACTTACTCTGTAGACAGCTTACCCAAACCAGTGAGTGCCAGGTTCAGTGAGAGATCTTGTCTCAACAAGTGAGGAAAAGGTAGCTTGAGGAAGAGACCTGATATCAACTGCTGACCTCCACATACAGGTGTGCACACACATGCATACACACACACACACACACACACACACACACAATCCACTATTCATGGAAAGTATTTTCTAACTTCTGATATAGAATGATATAACATTACTCTGTTTTAATATTTCTGTCTTCTTAATTTTTATATACTTCCATAACATCTTTTTCCTGATGTTGTTGCATTTGTGTTTAAGCTGGTGTTTAATAAAGGCTGGCTTAAAGGATTTTGACCTTATCAGATTAATCAATGCTTCTCTTCAATGAATAAAGGAAATAATCTCTTATCTTACAAGCTTTACTTTGTAATTAATCGCTTATTTCACAGTGACACGCACATCCTGCCTATGAGTGCTTATTTCTTCACTGCTGTAGTAGGCAGCAGCTGGAAGGTGGCATAAGGACAATGCCCAGTAGGGCTTTCCTCCAATCTGTTCCTAGACAGTAGGAAGTGCTTGACAAAGGCCAGAATCCATGATTCGGCTGCCATTGAGGATCCTGCTCGTTGGATGCTTCTTCAATGAGTCCAGCTCCTTGGTGGGTGACCTGACAGCACCTCTAGTCACACACTGCTGCTTTGGGGCCTAGGAAAGTAGACCTGCCCATCTCCAGGTGCTCACAGTCAGGTGCAGCCTCTTAAGTGCTTGGGTGAGAGTGAGCCTCCGGGCTGGATTACAGCACCTCCACATGGAAAACCTTCTGTACCTTGTCCTATGGTTATTTCCAGAGCTCTTCCTCTAAACACTGGGACAAGAATCTCTAAAGCAAATCTTCACAATTTCCTGAATGTTAGCAATATGCCAGACACTGTGGGACAGGCCAGGATCAACAAGGCCAGGATCAATGAGCTGATGATTGAACTTGTTGAAGATCCCACAACACAATCACCAACAGTAGGGAATGCTTACAGCAAAACATCTTGGAATGAGAGATGACTTCCAGGTGAGGCCAGACACTGAACCTGGAGCCTGCTCACCCTTTGCCCATCAGCCCAGCACCTGTCAGATGGCAGGCTCACAGGTAGGCATGGCCAATGCGGGTACTACACAGTGCAGGATTAGGAATGAGGTACTCCTGTAGTGAAGGGACCAGCTCCCCATTTCAGGAGCCATAACAGCCTAGCACGTACTTGCCTGACTAGTGAAGGGACCAGCTCCCCATTTCAGCAGCCATAACAGCCTAGCACGTACTTGCCTGACCACTAGGAGGTCAGATGTCTGCCTCGTGGCAAGGAACCAATCAGAAGTTAGCTGGTGGTGCTATGCTTTACGGCTCTGGGTGTGCTTTACGGACAAGTGCACAGCATTGATGTGCAGCGCATAGCAACCGCCCGGGGAGGGCCTATGGGCCATAACCACCAGTTGACCAATCAATACAGGGCAAACCCTCCAAGCCTGGAGGCACACCAATCTGAGTCTGTGCGTACCCCTAGACACTCCCCTTATGCTACCCTATAAGATCTCTATGCTGTGGCTTCGAAGAGTCTTTCCTAGCCATCCGCCATGGTGGATGGATGAAAGGCCCGAGCTAACATGGGGTTAGCTCGTTAAACAACTGCAATAAAGCCTCTTGCGTGTTGCATCAACTGGACTGGACATTGAGTTCTTGGGTGACAGTCCAGATTGGAGATTCCTCAATCTGAGGGTCTTTCAATAGAATCCCACTGTCAGGGGACATTGTGATCTCTCTCTTTTCAAAAAGATTCATTAATATATGTATGTGTGTCTGCTTGCCTAAGTTCATGTGCACCAAGTGTATGTGAGGGTCCGAGCAGGCAGCAGACAGCATCAGATTCCCTGGAGCTGGGTTTACAGGTTATTGTGAGCCACCATTGTGAACCAAATCCAGGTCCTATGCAGGAACAGGAAGTGCTCTTAACAAATTAGCCATATTTCCCATCCCTGTGCATGATCTTACTTCCTGCTTGATTGAGAGCCCACCCCCATGTTCCCATCACCTAACTGTCCTTAGGAATATCAGAACAAAGACTGCACTCCTCCGAATCACAGGAAATAAGTGCAGTCACGCCTCCGAATCACAGGAAAGAAGACACGACACAAAGCAAGTGTGGCTCATACTTTACTAGAGACCAAACAAGGCTGGGCCATCCCGCTATGGAGACGGAGCCTGCATACCAGGCACTATGGATCTTTGGGCAACAGTGGGGGGTGGGGTAGAGTAAAGGCATCAACTGAGCTACTTAAAGGACAGTGAGGTTGTCTGGGAAAAAAACATGACAGAAGCAAACAAGAGAAGAAAGGGACTTTGCCAAGGGTGAGGCTTGAGTAAAAAACAGGATTCTTGTAGAGGGGAAGGTCATGAAAAGACAGAGGCAGAAATGGGGGGCTGATGCAGAGAAGTTACTGGAAGCTAGCTGCAGCTCAGTCAGTGTCCAGGGAACCAGGGGTTGCCAATACCAGCAGTGCAAGGTCCTACTTGTTACCCCACGTGGCCTGTTTTAAGTACAAAGGGCTTGGGAGGAAGCGGTTAGTCTTCATGTAGGCAGAGATCTTCTTCAGGCCCTGTGAGTGGGAAGGAGAAAGTAGGACCTCAGTTTTGCAAACTCACTCTAGGAACATCCAAGAGACTTTAACATCCAGATGTAGAAAATCCACCCAACCACCATGCAAAATCAGGCCCACCATCGCCATTCAGCAGGGATGCTGAGGTACCCAGAGGTTAGGGAACTTCCTCATTCTCCAATGGCTAAGAGGGTCAGCCCAGCTCTGTGGCCTCCACTCTGCTCTCTGTGCACTCCCCTCCCGACTCCCATAGTGGGCGCTGTCACTCCTGGCTGCATTGACATGTCTATGACAAAGAGAAATAAGGATCCAGAAAACCCAAAGGGCTGAGAACTTGCATGTGAGGCTTAGAAGAGAGCCCAGGTCCCACCCAGTGACTCAGCAAACCCTGAGAATGAGTGGAGAGGGGGAGGGGACTGCAAAGCAAGGAGCAGCCAGCTCCAGCTGTTCACCGGAAGCCTCTCCACTTGAAGCCTGGGCGCCATCTCCCTGAGCCCCAACTAACCCCATCTATATCTCTGATGCAGTAGAGTGTGTTACAGGACACCTCAGCAAAGAATACACAGGTCATTTCTAAAGACCAATAGAGCCAGAGCTACCAGCCCCCAACAAGCTACACCCATCTGTGCCTACAACTAGGGCTTCTGGACTCAGCTCTTGCACACTCCCAAGGCCACTCCACTCCAGAACCAGGGCTGATGAGAACTAACTAAAAATTAAATGCATCCCTTGATGGAGAGTGGAGAAAGAGAAACACTTCCAGGTTGAGATCTGTTGCTATACTAATGGCGCCAATATGCAAATCTGGAAAATGAAAAAATAAAAATGTGGGTCTTGTTCATGTCAAACCAGAGAGTTCAGCATAGCCATGATTAACTGTGGGCCAGCCAGCACTTTAATGCCACATGCATCTCTGCTGTGCCTACTGCTTCCAGAGGCACTCAGTTCCAGAATGGCCTGCTGGGCCTGACCCTGTGCCACACACAGAGGAAAATTCCAAAGAATCTGAATAAAAATAAAAGTATGATCTCACTTCATAGAGGAACATGAGATACGAAAGAAGAGAGGGAGGCGAGAGCACACCCACCAACAGAACTCAAGATAAAACTATCCCCCGGGAACAGCCCAGGATCACGATGCTTCCCTAGACATGAACATTAAATATGACCACTGAGGACATCTTGGTTCTGCACATCAATCTGCCTTGATCTCGGCCTAATGGTTGCAGGAACAAACACATTCTTCACATGTTCTGCATACCACAGGTCCTGGGCAGGAAACTCAGGCTGTACAAAGCCTGACTTTCCTTTTTGCACAAATCAGAGAGACACTGAATGCTGCCTTTAGAAGCCAAAGGCAGTCAGGAGTCCAGAACAGTCTCTGCTGGAGCTAGGACCTTCGAAGATTCCTTCTCAGTCCAGAGGGACACCTAACTCTATCCAGGTTGCCAGATGTTGAAATGATACATTGACTCCACAGATCTAAGAGGCTGCTCAAGGGTCCTGGCTGGCTCAGTAGTTCCTTGTTATTCTTCTTTTAACCCCCGGGACTAGGGGAGCATCCTGGAAAGGGGAAGGGAAGGACATACAAGAGGATGGGGGATCAGGGCATCACCTCAAAGCGGGCCACAAAGTCCCTCAGGTTCGGGAAGGCATCCAGGCACTTGGGCTCAAACATTTGATGCTGGTCAAGGACATCATAGACGAGGAAATCTGCAAAAGTGATCTGCAGGAAGCCAGGGTCAGTGGGATGGGATCTGGTTACCTGGGAAGAATGGCGGCTCCTCCTCTCCACCAGTTACCCTCTTTACCTTGTCCCCTGCAAACCATGGCGATGTCCCCAGGAACTCGGAGTAGAGCTTCAAGTGATCTGGGAGGCCCTTCAAGAACTCTGGCTTCCGTTTCTCCTGAAGCAGAAAACAGCTGTCACCACCCTCATACAGGCTCAAAGGGATCAAAGTATGGCCTGGCAGGGCTGGGCAAAGGAGCAGGCACCTTCCTAATACTGGGCCTGCAGGATCTGACACCTAGCTGTTTTCATGGTTAGACGCCTATCTGCTAGTTTCATTTCTCAGGAGTGATTGGAAGTTAGAGGGGATGCCACACTGGCCCCTGAATTTGCCACGACTGACATCTAACCTAGGACTTTGTGGGCAGCTGGCAGCTTCTTGACCCAGAGGTCCAATAGAAGCACAAAAGCAAAGTACTCAACAATATCAAGAGAAGAGATGAAGTGACTTCTAAGCGATGATACAAGAACAAATACTCCAACACTTTCGGAGTAGGGTGAATATAGCTGAACAGTGTTGGGTGTTGAAAGGGACAGTGGTCCTCCAGCTGACCACAAGCTGCCTTTTAGCAAGAGGAGCTCATTTGTGCTACTACTGAAATTTGTGCTCTGGGAAAACTGTTCGACTTCTAAGCGATGATACAAGAACAAATACTCCAACACTTTCGGAGTAGGGTGAATATAGCTGAACAGTGTTGGGTGTTGAAAGGGGCAGTGGTCCTCCAGCTGACCACAAGCTGCCTTTTAGCAAGAGGACCTCATTTGTGCTACTACTGAAATTTGTGCTCTGGGAAAACTGTTCAGTGTGTTTCCGAATACCCAGGACTTCTTTCCCTCTGGTTTTCATCTGTGAACTTCAGGAGTAGTGGTTGGTGGGTGAACCGGACCAGGTGGTACATGGTAGTAGTCAAGGTCAAAGTGGAAGAGAACTGAACATATGAATTGACTACATAGGGAATGAATTCCCAATCATTGGTGTCATGACAATACCTCAAAACTTGGAATTGACACGTGGTGTTTATTGACAAAATGGTGGTGGATTGGGAACTCAACATGTTGGTAGGATAGGAAAGCTTGGCAGATCAGTATGGGTGGGTTCAAATTCCAGACAACAAGTGTGGGTATGAACACAAGCCCTTAATGCCTCCTACAAAGCCAGGCTATGCCACACAGGAGGGACTCACAAAGTCAGGGCTGTAGCAGAGTGTGCCCATCTGAATGCGGGTGTCCATAACCTGCTTCTCCAAAATGTCCACACGAACCCTCTCCTCTTCTGTCTCCCCACCTGCAGCACACACAGCAGAGACACTCAGCATAGCCCACCCCAGCCAAGCCCAGGGAGGTGACCACCACGCCCCACCCTGCAGCCAGCCCCACTCACATAGGTTGTGCTTGCGGCCAAGGTAGCGCAGAATGGCGTTGCTCTGGGTGACCTTGTATGGCCCATCAATTAAGTAGGGCAGCTGGATAGACAAGCAGGGACAGTCAGATGTGTTGCAGGCTCTGTGCACCCCTTCCCTGGGTAAGGACAGACACAGGGCCTGGCATTCAATGTGCCCGGCATGGTGAGCTCTCTATGAACACACTGAATAGGAGAGCAGGGACAGATGACATGAAGAGCTGGGGCACAGCCCATCACAGAAACACTGTACAGCCACCAGGAGCGGGAGCAGAGAGCTGAAGCTCTGATCCCAAATCCCTTCAGCCAGGTGAGGAGATGAGGTGGGAACATCATGCCCTCCCCAGACCTCCCTTTCCCTGCACCTACATTGGGGAAGTCCAGGCCCAGCTTGAATTTGTCATTCAGCCACTGGCTTCGGTCATAATCGGGAGCTGTAGACAAGATGGTGTGAAAAGGGATCACCGGCATCTAAGCCTCCTTACCCAGTACCACCCCCACCCCACCCCCAAAGAGTCAAGGGTGGGACCCCTTGTGCAGGGAATAGTAGTCTGACCCAGTCAATCTTCCATCCCAAAGTGGTACACTTGAATAGTGCCATAATGGCTGTAGGCCTTCCATGACTAAGGCTTACAAAAGCACTAAGCCAGTACTGGGCAAACCTCAGCCAATTACAGTCAGAAAAGGGCCGGCATACCAGAACCAAGGTTCTGTATTGAGAAACATAGATGCACCCTAAAAGAGGTTTCTCGAAGGGATTCGCTCTGGGTTCATCTGGAGCTGAGTCACAGAGCTGAGACACAGGGAACCAGGCAGAAGCCGCTGGGCACCAATAGGACAGAGTTGGGAAAGAATCTGACTAAAAAAGAGTGTCATTACCGTCCCCCATGGCGTATCTCTTCTCTTCATAGCTTGTCTCTGTGTATTCCAGGAGCAGGCGGATGGCGTGGCCCAGCTGAGAGAGATGGCCGGTAACAAAAGTCACAATTAGGGAGATCCTAGATGTGTGACTTCACCTCTTCTAGGAAAATCTCCCCACCTTTCACTAAAAAGAGAGATGGGGGAGAGGGAGGGAGGCAAACAGAGTGGAGGGAGGGACTGGGCAGGGTGGCTCTGACAGAGACAGGTAAAGGGCTCAAGAAAAACCTGTTGGGCATCTTCCTTTGTGTTGACCCTGGGCTCTTCCCACCTGGGGGCCCAACCTTTCACTCACTCCACGGATATCCCAATAGCCCAGAGTCACGGGCATGATTTCTGTTCCAGCCTTGGAGACTGCAGTCAGGCCACGGGCAGAAGACTCCACTTGCAGAAGCAGCGCACAGCGTGGAGACTGAGCAGTTCCAGAGCGGCTCTGCCCCGCCCCTAAGTGAGCCGACCCCGGAACCATAGAGCCCAACTCACCATGACTGTAGGAGTCAAAGCCAATCCAAGCCCAGGGCTATAATCCGGAGGCGGGGCTGAGTTTTCAGAAACCAAAGGCAATTATAGGCAGACCTGCTCCCGTCTGCCCCCTGCTGGATCCTTCTAGATCCTGCGGTATCCTTGGAGACGCCAGCTATGACCTGTTCTGCTCCTCTCCTTTCCTTGTGGACGGGTTTTCACAACTAGACTGTGGGAATCTGTCATTCAGGGAGGCTCAGATCTCAACGTATGGATAAAAAAGAATTCTCTCGGCCTAAGAGTCTATTCTTGTACCCATCACTGGAAGAAAGAACTCTGCCAATCTAACAAACTCCAGGCTTTATTGTCCCACAGCCTGGAGGTATAAGAGCAGTGAAATGGGAACGACCCCAGCTGGACAGGGCCAAACAGAAGAGAAGTTTCTGTGTCTTTGGGGGGAGACGATTTGGGGGCTGTCTGAGTTACTTTCCTATTGCTGTGACAAACGCCATGACCGAGGCAGCTGTGGTGGTTTGAAAGAAAATGACCCCCAAAGGGAGTGGCCCTTTTAGGAGGTGTGGCCTTGTTGGACGAAGTGTGTCACTGTGGGGGCAGGCTTCGAGGTCTCTTTTCTCAAGCTTCACTCAGTGTGACAGCCGACTTTCTGTTGCCTCTGAGTCAAGATGTAGCACTCTCAGCTCCAGGACCATATCTGTCTGCATACCGTCACGTTCCCTCCATGATGAAAATGGACTGAACCTCTGAAACTGTAAGCTAGCCCCTTCTCCCCCGCAATTAAATGCTTTCCTTTATAAGAGTGGCTGTGGTCATTGTGTCTCTATACAGCGATGTGAACCCTGAGACAGCAACTTACAGGAGACCGTTTAATGAGAGTTTAGAGTTTCAGAGGGAGAGTCCACGACCATCATGATGAGAAGCATGGCAGCAGGCAAGCAGACAGCGGGGCATGGTGCTGGAGCAGTAGCTGAGAGCTTATATCTGATCTATAAGCAGGAGGCAGAGAGAGAACTGATAGGAAGTGCATGAGCTTTTGAAATCTCAAAGCCCACTCCCAATGACACACCTCCTCCAGCAAGGCCACACCTCCTAATCCTTCCCAAACAGTTTCACTAACTGGGGACCAAGACTCAAACATATGAGCCTATAGGGGGCATCTCATTCAAATCACCACCAGAACCCAGCTCTTTGGTCATCAAGCTAGTGACTACATAAATGAATGAGTACTTTGGCCATATCTGTGAACTAAATCCAAGAATCAGATACAGAGGGCTTCTGAGATTGAAAGGTTCCCATCACCATGGACAGAACCCTGAACTCAACATCATGAAGTGGCGAGGAGGGACCAGATGCCTCTCCTGATTCTAAGGGACAACCGGATTCTGTCCAGAGAGGACCTTGAACGACTCAGCAGAGGACCCAAGTACCTAACAGTCAAACTCTCAGCTGTCCAGCTCACTGGTTTCAGTCCTGGCCCAAGCTCCTGCCTCATCTCATGTGTGTTTGGGTACCAAGAGAGTGGCTCAGATGTCTTGTAAGTCACTGTGGCACCTGTGGTTAAAACTCAAAGACAAAACCTTACCAATGTTACCTGAGAGCAAAGCCTCTCTTTTTCAGGTTCTTAACATCAGTGACTTTTAAAAGCAGAATTTAAAACAGTCTCAAGGGGCAGGGGGGTGGCTCACTTGGTAAGTATTTTCCAGGCAATGCTAACCCATATGAAGAAGTTTGTCATGGTGGCAGACATTTATAAACCCCAGTGCTGGGGAGGTGGAGACAAAAGGTTCCAGCAGGTTTCCTGATGCCTGTCTAGCTGATTCAGCAGATTCCAGGATGTCAACTTCTAACCTTCACATACACGTGTACACATGTGCACACACAGGAACACATATACACAACTTAGGGGGCTCAGGGTCATGAAGTCAAAAAATTTGCTAAGTGGGGAGGCAGAGGAATGAGTAAATATTTGAACATTTACGTGAAGTTGGGAAGTAATTGAGGCTGAGAGGGAGGAGAGAGAGAAGCAGAGGTCCTCTGGCTACCTAAGGGCTGTCTACTAGAAAGCTCATTGATGAATCTGAACGGGGAGCATCCAGCAACAGGTGAACAGAGGTAGGGTCAAGGGTTCCATGTTCAGCCTTCATGCTGAGCTACTTCTCATTGATTGAGCCTGTTACTTCCAGGGGTGCAGAGATTATCTGAACCAGCTGGAACAAAGCTGTGGCACAGGCCACAGGCAGAGGTGGAGAATTCCAGACACACACTCTACTCTCTAGGAGCAGAAGGTCCACTCTGGGAAGAATCCACTCTGTTCTGACATTGATGAATAGTAGTGTTCACTCAATACAGTAGGATGCTCTGAGCGATACCGGTGGCAGCATGTGGCCTGGACTGAATTGTAAGTAGCTTCAACAAGTTCAGAGGAGACATAGGACCTGTCCAGCAGGGGGCGTGAGATGACACGGAAAGTCTGGGCTAAACAGGTTCTGGTCACCTGACTGGAGATACTAATAGCATGGTTTTTCAAAATGTCTGTCTGTCTACATGTAGCCCACATAATGACTAATGCTCAGTATTTCCCCTCTGGTAAGTTCAAGTGATGGCCCCTGGCAACCCCTGCCTCTCCACCCCACAACTTGTAGGTAGCCCCTCTCACACAGACTGCCGCCAACATTGTAGGTGTTCCTGACCTGACTATAGCACCCTGTACCTCACCAATAAGATGTGATTGGCCTTGACAGCTACTGCTCCACCCTGTCTGCATGTTGGGAACTTCTGCCTTGGGCTGCTGTCTCTCTCTCTCTCTCTCTCTCTCTCTCTCTCTCTCTCTCTCTCTCTCTCTCTCCCTCCCTCCCTCCCTCCCTCCCATAATTGAGATACAGCTCCTTCTATGGACAGGAGTATCAGAGCACACAGGCAGGGAGTTAGTCTTCCCCTCCCTGGTAAAGGGCCCCTCCGGGTAGAAAAGCCCTAAACCACGGACTGCATGCAACACAGGAACACTGTCCTATCACGTACTAACTATGCCCTTTGTTCTTCAAGAAGCCCTTGTCCAGAAATGTCCTTGGGACTTTCAAGCACTTGTTTATGCCAGAAATACAAAAAAACATAGTGTATCTTAGTCTAGTTAAGTGATATCAGCCGACCTTGGACCCAGTTCCTTGAGATACAGCCCTTCCTCTTCACTCCCCCAACGGGGACCTTGAAAGAACAGGCTCTGAAACTTCCTTCAGACTCTTACTGTGTCCTGCCGCCTGCCTACCAGCGATCTGCAAAACTCTTGCGTACAGGTCAACTCGATTCAGTGCCCCCTTCTCTTCATGAACCTGAAAAGCTAACAAGGAGAAAGTACCCTAAAGAAGGAGGCTGAGACCCCGAAAGACTCCATGGAGGAGAGATGCTTAATCTCCTGGAATCTCCCCAGGAGATGAACTGTCTTCTAGGTTGCTATCTCTCTGAGCTGAATCCTACAGCACAGATGCGAGTCATGTTTTGTTGCCTATGTCTGCAGTATTCATCTTATTCTGCTTCCAGCTGAGACCTTCAAGTCGATATTTTTATCTCTTCTAACTGGGAACACAATATTCAGAGATCTTTTTCATTTGCAGTTTTGCCTTCTTTATTTTATCCTTAGGATATGAGAATGAAGCTACTCTTGATTCCTTTCTTTAATTACAACATTTAAAATTTCAAATCTAACGTAGCATTTGGCTTTTTTAATGGGGACATCTGAATTTAGGGACTGTGCAGCAACCACCTATCATTCTTTGTTTTCTTTCTTATTTATTTGTCATATTTACTGTGGCAAATTCTATAACATCACATTTGCCATCGTGTCAGTTCAGTATTGCCATGTGCATTAATGTTGGCAGCTGCCACCACTCTGTGACTCTTTCCCTTTTTGTAAACAGGAGGTGCTATCAGCTGTCCTTTCCCTCCAGCCTTCAGAAACCGCCATCTCTGTGACTGTGGTGCCTTCCTTATGTGTCATAGCTGCAATAAGGAATGTATGCACAGGGTCATATGCCCAACACTCGAGTAGCAGGTGGCACTATCTCATGAGGTGGTAGAAAATTTAGAACATAAGACGGGGAGGAGGAGCAAGCGGAGGAGCCTGGGAACGGCTCCTTGAAGATGTTCAGTCTGAGGAGCCTCCTGCCACACCCTCTTCCTCTCACCCACCAAGAAGTGAAAACCAGCCTCTACCACATGTTCTGGCCGCCATGATATTCCACTTAAGCACATAGGGCCACGGGCCTGCGGGCCAAACTTTCTGAAACGTCAACCTAAATACATTTTTTTGCCCTTGTGTCCTGCCTGGTATGTCAGAATGATAGGGAGAGTAACTAATATAATCAGAACTGTAAAATGCTTACAGTGTTATTTTTTTAAACCAGTTTTATTGGTTCAAGTTTCATCTAAGTTTTATCATGTATCAAAATAGCCCTCCTCTGAAAATTATTCCTCTGTGTTTCTATATTGCATTTTCTTTTCATATTCATTTGCAAATGGGTTCATGGGTTTCATGTAACGTTAAGTCTTTACTTCATCCGCCCCAGCCCCGACGCCAAGAGGGTGCCCAGAATATCACACAGTCTTATATTAATTTACAATGCTGCTGGCCAATTGACTAGGATTTCTTAAATGCTAGCTCAGTCTTAATTATCATAAATCTATATATTTTATAAGACTTATCTTATAGAGGACGCCTTCCTCTGGGACGCATCCTCTTCCTGGGATCACATGGCGGCTCCAGAGTGGAGAGCAGAAGGAAGAGAAAAAGCAAGAGAGTGATTTCCTGCTTATATTCTGAGTCTGCCTGCTATGTCACTTCCTGCCTGGATCACAACTCTTCTTTACTACAATTTTCCAGAATCCTCCTTTACTCCTAGTCTCGTGTAACTTGCTTCTTCATTGGCCAACAGTACTTTATTCAACAACCAGTAAGATAAACACACAGAAAGACATTCCCCATC